TAAAAATTAAATATAAACCCAAAAAATATGAAAATTTCATAGAATTTTCCATCCACCCTTAAAATTCACCTGGGGAGAGGGGTCCACCCAAATTGATCCCTAGCCTCACCAAAAGCCTCCCTACCGCCACCAAACCTTAAAAATCAACCTAAACCCCAAAATTTGGTGGCACCTTAGGATTGTCAAAACTAATTGACCATAGCTCAATTTTGGTCAAATCTTGACCAATTGACCACCTTCCCATCCAATTGAACCTCATCCAACATGGTGATGACATCACACCATGCGGTGGACACAATTGGCATCATGAGGTTAACCCCTATAATTCACTTAATTAATTAATTAATTATGAAGGGTTATGAAATTCCATTAGGGTCTAAAATTTGGGCTAAATCCAACCAATTAGCCTAATTCCAAAACCCTAAAATCTAACCCAATGCACATGGTCGATGAAGCCCATATACCTTTTTTAATAAGCTACACATGATACAAACCAACCAATCATGACATGTGGATGACACCAAAAGACAGCACCAAATCAAGTCCAAGCAATAGAGGACAGATCCACACACTTCACCATAGGGGAAAGCCACATGGCACCTTGGTCATGGACCCTTTGACCAAGCCAAGATGTAATTAAGGATATTGCCCATTGATGTTTTGACACTGCGTTTCAATGAATTTAACCTCATGTTAAATTTTTTTAGTTATTTGAATATTTATTTCAATTCTTTTATGTGTTGTTCAGTTGTTTTACTTTTAACCAACACATCATCCACATACAATTCAATTTTTTTCTTTTTTTTTTAAAGATTACATTCGTAAGCTGCTGGTAAGTAGCCCTAAAATTTTTAAGCACAAAAGGCATTCATTACATTATAACAAAATATACATTCACTTGTTATGAAAGTTGTATTCTTTGTGTCAACCTACTGCATCTTTATTTGGTGGCATCCAAAGAAGGCATCCAGATAGCTCATCACTGAATGGTCGATCACTAAGTCCATTAGTGCGTCAATCCTTAGCAATAAGTTGCTTTCCTTTGGGCAGGCAGATTTTGGGTTTGTGATGTCATGCACATTCTGTACTTGTCATTTTCTTTTTTCACCATCACTGTATTTGATAACCATGTCGAATATTGCACTTACCAGACCTATCCGACCACCAGTAACATGTATCTCCTCCCGGATCGGTTTGGTTAAGATGACGATCAAAGACCTCATCTTCTGCTTCATCAGTTGGGTGTCGAGATGGATGTTCAGTCAGTGGCATGCTACATTGATCGATATCCTTAGCATTTCAGCAGTATTCCTAGCAAAAACATTCTAGTGCTCTCTAAAGGTCTTGATCAGTATATCTTTTGACCATGCATCAAAATTTTAACTTATTTTAAAAAAAATACATTGTTTTCCTTTGAACGTCTGGATTTCAAGCGTGGTCTCACTGGTCTCAAGTTCCATTCATCTAAATTCAAAAGATTGAGCAACTCCTACTCCATGCTTCCTGCCACCCATAGGTACAGGTTTCGGGCTCCTCCAGGTTACATCAAATGGTGATGATCTCACCATCGACTAAAAACTTCACTGCCACATGGTAGGTCAAAGTGACAGCTTTGAAGTTGTTGAGCAGAGGTCGGTCAAATTTAGCTTTGTAGGTTGGCAGCGAGTCCATCACCAAAAAGTCCTCCATATTGGTGAACTACTATTTGTTTTCTCCTTAGGTGACCAATGTAGTTATTATTCCTAGGGCTTCCTTTCTCTTGCCTGAGAAGTCATAAAGAGGCCCAACGACTGCTATCAGTAGGTCATTTTTTCGGCTCATCTTGTCAAAAAATTGACTTGAATAGAATATTCACATAACTACTAGTATCAACGAGGATGCTACTGATATGGTAGTTTTCTACCAAAGAAGTAATGACTATGGCATCATTATAAGGACCTTTGGGAGAAAATCTGTCTTGATAAAGGTAATGAGGGGTGTGTGTATTATTTTGGTGAAGGCTTCTTTGTACATTTCTTCCAATTAAAGCCTTTAAGGCTGGTTCGGCGGAAAGATTCTCCACTTACTCCAAAGATGGCAGAATTGGGTACTACACCAAAATTTGATATACATACACTCGGACCGACTCATCCAAAATTTCCTCTAATGTAGCTTTCCTCTGTCATTGGGTGTTAACTCCCTATGCCACAAACTTCTTTATTTTGCGTGCACTGATCAGCTCCTCGATCATACATTGAAGGTGCCAGCAATCCTCTACATCATGGTTGTGGTCTCGATGGTATGTGCAATACTTCATTGGGTCCTAAAAATAGGCTCCGGTATTTATCGAAAGAGCTTACTTGAACTATTCCTTATTTTGGATGCCCTCAACTATCTTGACCACCGAGACCCTCAATAAGGTTGCTTTGGCACTTCATGATGGGGCAACGGTTGCTTGTACTGAGCTAACCATAGTTCAAGATATCGAGCATGAATTTTATGGTTTTAGGGTCTGTAGGCTCTCTCGTGGTCCCTAAACGGCTGATTATTATCATAGATCAAGCGAGCAAAAGGAGATGAATCACCCCTCATTATTCACATATCATCCCTTGGGTCCCTTTTCGGCAAACAATGGGTGGAAGATTTCACTCTGATAGAAGGGGGTAGAATTGTACTCTTCAACAAATATTTGGTTATTGGTCAGCTCAAAAATCTTGGTTAAGGTCTTTGGTCGCTGTAGACCCAAAGCATATCAAAATGATTCTTCCTCCAGCCCTTAGGGGAAGGAAGGTATGTGTTACTGTGGGTTCGAAATCCCATTCCTCGAACATATCCTTTAGAAATCAAGTGATGAATGAGTGGAGGCTCTCATTATGCCCTTGCCTCATATTTAGAAGGGCTTGTGTACTCTTTTGAGGCCTTTGGGCACTAAAAAATTGCACCACAAACAATCTCTTAAAATTAGTGAAAGGGATGATCACCCATGATGACAATCCATTGAATCACCTGAGGGTCGACTCCCTAAACACGTTGAAGAAAATTTGTAATTCAACTTGTCTGTGATCGTTAGTAAACAGACAGTCTACTCAAATAAGGGTATGTGGTCGCTCGGATCAATACAACCCTTGTATAATTCCAAAGCAGGAATCTTGAATTTTTTTGGGGGCTTAGCTTCAAAAGATCTGCCGAGAGAATGCATTATCTGGCTAGTGGGGTACCTGAATATGCCAGAATCATTATCTATATATCGGTGTCGACCCAACACTATCGAGGTGTTGGAATCTCCTTCCCTTTCCACAAGCAAGGGTGTCCTTCGGTGTTGGGTCGACACTTCCTCTCTGAGGTTCTGCTCCCTTCTTCGATCTAATGTCTCGAGGGCAAACATCATCTGGTCTTTCAGTTTGTGGATTTGCTAATGCAAAAACTACATGATGCACACCATATTGTTGGTGCCTTTGTTGTGGTTTTCTTCTCCATGTGCTACTCCTTTTATCTATGTCATGATTCACGCTTACAACACATTTTAGAATATTGAATCTTAATTTGTCTGTGAATCAGATCAAAGGAATAAAAAGTATGTTAAGAGAGAGACAAACAGAGAGGGAAGTGCACTACAATAAAATAATATGAATTGTTGATTAGCCCTCTCTCGTGAAAATATTAGCTTATTTATGGAGGAGGGCAATATAATATATGAGATTACATATCTATTCCTGCTTTAAAGTGGACTTTATAGGATATTTTAAATATATTACATGTACAGGTCTTCAGCGCGGTACCTTAGGAGGGGGGCATGTACTCCTTTAGTGGGCCAGCTAATTTTTCATATGTAAGCCTTCTTTAGTCACACTTCTTTGTGCTTTTATCAATTGAATCTACTTAGTGATTCATGCAAACACGTTTATGACATACAATTTCATTTTTGTCATCACTTTAGCATGACTTCCAACATAATATATTAATCATGCCCTTGGTTTTCCAGAAAATTTTACGTAAGCTTACCAACCCGTTGCATTGTCGCTAAATAAGTCAACCAACCGTTATGATTTTTAACATCCTCCCGTTGAAATATCATTCAAAATTCTTAATACTCTACAGCACTAAATTTTATTTCAGGAACAGCCAAGCATTAGATTGTTTAAAGTACATTATTAAAAACAATCAGAGAAATCCGAATAATAAAAATTATTTTATGTCATTTACCTTTATAATTACTCCAAATTACTTTATAAAAAACAATAAGAGAAATCCGAATAATAAAAATTGGGTTTGAGACGTCACCTCAAGCAACGGCCTAAAATTGGCATAAGACCTCAAATTCCATTTTAGATAATCGTTAAAAATCAAGAAAATTAAAACCAATGAGAAATTATCTTATACACAAGCCCGGCAACATACCCTCAACATAAAATCTAACCAAAGTTTTAGATAATAAAATTTAACCATACAATATCTAAAGCATATAAGCCTTTAATTTTCATTTTAGAATGTTAACAAGCCTTACACGAGTAAGGTAATAAAATTTAACCATACAATATCTAAAGCATATAAACCTTTAATTTTCATTTTAGAGTGTTCACAAGCCTTATACACGAGTAAGTTAAAAAAGAAAACAGTACAAACGAGTAGCAAGAATTTTCTTAGCTCCAAATAACTAAAAAATTACATCATAGAAAGTTATTAATAGCGATAAAACTTCCAACACCCAACACTTGGGTGTCATAATTCATAAAGTTATGCTTCAAAAAAATGTATTTCACTCTTAAAAAGTTGGTTGCATTAATATTTTTTTATAAAATCTTAAAATTATGAGTGTTATGCATTAAAATATGACTTTCCATGTTTGGTACGTAAATACCTAGAAAAACGTAATATGCATCTAAAATGCCACAAAATTAATTCAGTATAGGAAACAAGCAAGCATATCAGGAGCAGATTCTGAAGAAAATTCAAAAACTTTTGCAACGAGCAAAATCAAGGCCACAAATAAAATTGAGGGAAAAAAAAACATTTCAACTAAAATTAAAATTGTTTTAATAAAAAGAAATTCTTGCTTAGTTTGAGATGAGCATAACACCTTCTCCAAAACAATGTAAAATAAATGTAACAATAAGACAATTCTTGCAGGCCGCACAGAAATAAGACTACAGCAACAGAAGGAAAGCCAAGAAACGGGAAGAAACGCAGGAAAATTTTTGGTTTAGTTAGTACTCGGAAGGAGAAATCACATCATCAACCTTGAGAATCATCTTGACAACCTGCGTTGCAAGTAAGATCTGCTGCTGTTTCCCAATCAGTGTCTCAAAGACGTTTTGTTCTTGCATGTTGTTCGTACCAACATCATTGCAGTCGATGCCATAGAAAGGAGTATTCTCCTGTAAATCTCACCATTAATAAGCTTATGGTTTGGACATATGTTTTTGGAGAAAGCAAGCAAATAAATTAAAAAAAAATTGCAATTCCCATAAGCAGCGTTATAAAGTACTCGTTGAAAAGTTCAGGGCGATTGATTCCTTTTATTCTTGAAAATAGAAAAAATCATTGAGAACCAGCCCTGCTTGCTGAACACAGTTCCAGAAGCTTGAATTAAATTTTCATCTTTTAATTTCTTGTTGTGCATAATGTAAACCAACATTTGAACAAAAACCTTGGCGAATGATGAAGATTTGCTAGTTTGTAATGATCTGTCGTCAGATACAGAGGATTTTTTTAGGATGATGATGATCTTAAACCATCAAATTTGAAAGAAGATGGTCAGAATGAATATTCCTTTTTTTAATGGAGGTAGGACAAGTCCAACACGAGCCAACAAGAATTTATCAAAAATGATTCTCTTAAAATGTAGGTAATCGATATTGTAACTAACATAGCAATTGTTTTAAAATTGAATTAATATTTGTGTTGATTTTTATTGATTGGGGTAGAGAAATATGGTTGAAGTTGAAGATGAGGAGAAAGAATGGGTGAATATTGACACAACTGAGGATGCAATAAGAGAAATTAATTCATTATGATAACAATTCTTAAGTTTCAAAATTGAATTAATATTCTCATTGATTATGAGAAAAGAATATAGTTGAGATCAAAGGTGAAACAGATTTGGAAGATATTGATACACTGAGGATAAGGCTGGAGAGAAATCAATTCATCACAATAATAACTCTGGGGAAAACTCAAGTATTGAAAATTTATAAATTTTAATCTTATATTACTTAATGATGATGAACTAAGAGGGGGAACTTGCTGCATCAAATTTATTTAGACTTGCAATGTTTTTGCATTAATATTTTTAGTGCTAGTATCATTGTATGGTACTTCTTACGTCGACCAACCAATAGCATCTTCGATAAGTAATAGAAAGATGTAGAAGAAGAAGGTAAATTGTGATGATCGAAGAAGGAAAATTATCCTTTAACAGGGCAAGGGGCACCTAAAGAGTAGGGTTATAAATGAACCAAATCAAGCCAACTAGTATATTTCATTTATTAGCATGTTTGAGTTAAGATTGAACATAAATCAACTTCTAAAATCTTGTTCCAGCTTGTTCATTAGTTTCTTTACCATGTTCAAGGAGAAGTTTATTAGTTTCTTTACTAAGTTCAAGGAGAAATCAAGCTTTTAATCAAACCTATCTAATAACAATATAAACATATAACCTCATTACTAAACATTAAATCACTTATCTAGTTATTTATTTGATATTTGCACCATGCATATACATTTAATAATATGCATTATTTTTAAGCACAACAATTTAAAGAAAAAATTAAAACAAGAAAATGGAATAATTAATCAATAAAGGTTTGCTGAACTGAACTGAACCGAAGATATTTGGTTGATTTGGCTCGGTTGATGAAAGCATGGCTTGATTTTTGTTCCAATTTAAGGGTATTTGGGTTTTTGTTATTGGTTATTTTTAGAAAAAAATTTGATTAAATCGAAAAATAAAATTATATAACAATTAACTATATCCATCAACCAATTAATTTGATGAATCCATCAACCAATTAATATGAATGCATATATCTTCATTATAATATCAAATTTTGGTTAAACCAAAATCGAACCAAATAAATAGAATTAATTTTTGATTTCGTTTACATAAGTTATATACATTATTTGGTTGATTCAATTTTATTTGTTATTTGACTTAGTTTAATAAAATATTCAAACGATCCGACCAAATCAACCATTTGCACAGCCCTAGTCATCACATAGAAAATTAAGCCATCATTAAACATATGTACCTCCGACACTTTTAAAAAAGTATCATACCTATGTCGCACGCTTATCGGACATAGGCACGGCTCCTACAAGCCCCGACACTTTTCTGACACTACAAAATGTGCCTGAATTTTTTTCAGTCTGGGACACGCCTAGACACGCCATTAGACATGGGCTCAACAAATGTTGAAAAAAAAAAGGACACAAAGTAGAAAATTTTAAATATACGTATAGCCCTCATTATGCCACAAAGTAGAAGTAGCCTCCTCTCTTGTCATGTTGAAGGTCCAACATTCATCAAAATTGAGCATCGAATGTTCATCCAATATTCGTCAAAGTTGACCATCAGTGGTTCCCCTTTTTTTTTATCAAAGACGAGCATCTAAGATCCATCTTGCATTTGTTGAAGCGAAGTGGTGGAGTTTCCTTATGTTCAACAAAGCCAAACCGGCACCCGCTATAGCGTAGGCCATAAACTTCTTTGCCACAACTTGAGCTAGAGTCAAACTTGTTCATTAAAGCCGAACCAAATACACGTGACCTTTATAACTATTATTTTTTTACTCTTTAATGAGTGAATAGTTATTAATCTATACTTACTCTAGTTCTAAAAGTTAGGCATTAACTTAATTAATTGAAAGTGTAATTGTAGAATATTTTAAGTTTTAGTAGATAAGTTGGAGAATTGTTTTGAAAAACAAAAAGCCTAATTTTGAAAATTGATTTTTGCAAGCATGAAACTTTATAATAAAAGTTCAATTTATAAAATTAAATTTTATTCTTACATACATAGTTTTGGCATGATGTCGCTAGTAAAAAATAATAAAGAAATCTATTAAAAAAACAAACAAGCATGCTCACGAACATAAATGAATAAGATAGCCAATGTTCAAACAAGTTTATTTATATGATCTTATGACCTCTTTTACTCCATAATGAACTAATCAGCCCATGGAACTATGGACAACAACATAACTCTTAACTCGAGAACAGGTCTTGAAGCCTCCAATTCTAACAACATGAATATTTTGAGAATGAATTGCCACAAACAAGCCCCTGGTCTGCGCTCATAAAAATTAAATGTTTGAAATGAGTATTATTTTCAACTCCTGCATACGCTTATCCAATAATTATCCAATTCTAAAATAAAAGTTAATCCATAAATTTAAAGAATTTTTTTTCTGAATAAGCTAACTCTTTATTTCCTTGAATATTTGAAGATAGTTCAACAACTCATCCCTAAAGTTTAACATCAGTGATTTGATTATGTGGATAACTGTCTGACTCATTAACACATACCATCTAAGATAAGGATTTGATTTGAGCATAGTTAACACTATCGTAGTTCTATCAACGTCCAGGAATCCATTTCATGGATTAACTTGAGAATCAGATAAAAATAGGTAAGTGTTTTTCATCCTCTGCTTTTTTTTCGAGTTGCAGCTACTCAGAATTCTGAATTTAAGAGAGAATCAGCTACAAAAAACCCAACCACATGCCTCCATGTTTTTCTTCAACAACCGATCATCGCAACCTCCAACACCTATGATATGATTGCAATGCTAAATGATTGTTTCTTTCTCCAAATGAGGCTGTAAACAACCAGAGAAGGGAGCCTGAAGTTCAGTGCATGCACGTCTAATAAAATTTAGCAAATAGTGAAATACGTGTTGATTTTGGGAGAAGGGTGCCGAATCAAGAAGGAATAAAAGTTGTTTTCACAAAATCAGAGAGTATGAGAATTACAAAAAAGACATTTTTTAATCAAAACCACAAATTGAGTTTAAAGTATATTTACTATAGCTAGAGATTGATTGTAACAAAATTGGCTTGCAAAAATGGATGAGCCAAGCTATTCATATTAATTCCATCATCATCTGATGGCAACCGTGGAGAGGCACTTATGGAAAAAGAACTATCGTGGAAGCACTCTCTAAAAAAAGAACACTGATATAAAGAGGGAGTGAGCGGATGGCATCAAGTTTTGAGAAGGCCAATTCGTGAGTGCCATCTAGGGGACAGATGTCATTCTGAACTTCTCTTAAATGATGCACATGCTATCCAAGGATGTAGACAAAAGTTATTTTGTTAGCCTGGTTTTGCCTATAGAGAAGGCGAACAATAATATTTGGATTGGGATTGCCTTTGTTTTTGGATAGGTTTCTCTATTAATGAGAATTAGAACGAAGCGACATTATTAAGGGTATTGCAGTCCTTTTTTGCTTCAGGAAATTTCAAGATCCATTAGACATCTGAAGGTAGGAAGTCATTTCTTACAACCAATGCCAATTTGTTGCCTGCCAAAAAATTAACATCAATAAAGATTTAAATTTGCATCTTAGCTAGCACAAATGTCATGCAACAAACACAAAACAGATGAAGTATGTTGTTCACATAAAAGATAGATTTTATATGAACCTTAAAAGGGAAGAATATACAGGTAGCCGAAAAAAGCATCTTGAGCTTGATTTTACAAGTAGTGTGCCCTTGCTGTTAGTTAGAGAATGCAAGATTACAATGCAAAAATTTGAAGCATAAAAAATATCTCACATTAAAATGTTCAAATATAATTAGGGCAGAAGACAATAATGAGTGACCAGAAGTGCCAATTGATAATACTAGTAGAATGCTACAACGAGCATCAAAGGCCGAGCAATGTTGTAAGCAATCAATATTGGTGTAGTTTGGCAATTTTTTTATCACATGTTTTTTGGTGATTAGAGAACCACAGTGCAAAGGTTCGCTTGGAACGAGAGCGCATAATGCATGACATGAAGCATGACTTCTTAAATATGGTGCAAAATGTTAAACAATTAAGAATTAAAATGTAGAGAAATATGAAAAGCTATTAAATTGAAATATAAACCCCAATTAATATGAAGACAATAAAAATAATGCTTAAATTCAAGTGCTTATAAGCTATATTGCCAAAATTTTAATAAAATTGTCAAATGTTTTCTCATCATCGCAACTAAGAAAAACAAATTGTTTCCTTTATCAGCATCATCATTATCTCATGCATCATAATCTCCTTCATCACCCTCTTTATCTTCATAATCAAAAATGTTAAGCCTAAATAAAGATTCATCTCCTTCTTTTTAGATCGCACTCAAATATTATAGTTTATTTCATAAAAATCAGTGGCCATTGC